CTATAAAAGGGTGAAATAAGAACTTTCATCTTTGGTTGTTTGTCAGACGTGAGAAACCACATTAGTGCCATTTTGTCGCGCGTGCTAGCTATTTGCCTATTTTATAAAATAAACACCTCAAAACCATAAACTTTTAGTTCAGAAAATTACAAAGTTTCCCATAGACATTATTAAAAATGTTCTAGTGAAGCAATTTCATGATAAATAAGTGAGCAATGGGCCCAAAAGAACTGCTAAGGTTAGTTTTTGTTAGGACTTCAATTTCATGGCTTCCCGCAAAGGAAGCCATTTCAGAGAGAAGCGACATTTTGCCAAACAACCGTCGCGACCTATTTTGATAACTTTTTCTTCTGATTCAATGTGTAGTTACTAGAAAATGATGTTTCATCAACATTATTATCTGCTTTATCGATTTAAAGTTTTATAGGGGATATAAAAACCAGTAAAAAGCATTTTGAAAGCTTTACAACTCAAGTGCGGACTTTTTGAGAATTCGCACGCGGCAAGCAAGCGCGTTTATTCAATACACTTATTTTAAACCACAATACGTCTGAAACGAGTTGTCATTTTAACACTAAATTGATGAAAATAGATATAACAGTGATTTTGGAATATCCTACTTATTTAGTGTAATTTAATACTCGAAGTATTCTTGCCAAAAAGATCACATACGCACACAGTAAGTGTCGTTTGAAATATACTTTAGCTAAAATAACAACTTGAACAAGAATACCAACAATGGGGTCACGAAAACAGTCAAAATTGCACCCAAATTTGCATAAACAGTTCGTCTAAAAAGATAACTTTAAACTAGATTCAACCAACATTAATGCGGTCGAATTTTGTGAGTGTTTGATCGCATATTTCTACTCAAAAATACCCTTTAAAAATCGTATCTGCTCACTTGAGTTCCGTGTTCATCTTTCTTGTGATTTCCGACTTCTATTTTTAATAAAGTTTGGAGAAATCCTCATCTTTTTGGCTGAAAATCTCGCGCAAGGTTCACAGAAGAACTTGGCCCAAAACGTCAATACATTCGCTTTCCTTTCATGCCAAATTTTCGTTGTAAATCATTCAAAAACGTCTTCTTTTTCCTCTTTTAAAACTTGCTGTGAAATCCTTCTTTGCAACAATATCGCCATTATTCATTATTTTTGAAAAACTAAGGTTTTAAACTTGAAAAACTTTGCGAGTTTTTTGCCGATTTTCTTGCATGATACACCGTTGAAAAGCTCGAATTTCGCGTTCTATTTTCGTATCCGTTGCTAGGCAACCCGATAAACACGTGCTCAAATATCATGCCCGCAAGTTGAGGTGTCATTTGAGGGCGTATGCGGGCGCATTGCCAGTACCCACTTGCCAATCTCAGGGCGCATCCGGGCGCATTGCCAGTTAATGAGTTTAAGGGAATTACTGCATGATTTGGCAATATTTATTTTAATTTTTACAACTATACCTGTATGACAGTGCAATGCATTCTGAATCAAGCTATTTTCATTTACAGTTATTTTGTAATATGAAAGTGGAATTGGACAATGATGTTAGGCGGCTTTTACTAGCGCAATAGATATGTGGGGAACATGTTATTGAAAATTAAATAAATGCATATTTTACCATTATTTGACTTGACTTGACATCGTTTTCCACCAAACTCAGGAGGACATTTGCATTTGAAATCATTCCCGACATTTTCCTTTATTTCTACAAGGCTGAAAATCGCACGGAGATTCTAACAAAGATATATGAGAGCAAATTTTAATTGGAAAGATACTTTCCCATGCATGCATGCATGCATAGAACTATATCATTGTCTTGCATATTGGGGCTGATCTTGAAAAAATCTAAATTTTCTTAATCTTTAAATAGTTTGTTTGCGATGTTACTCTGAGTGCATATCCACACCGGGCGAGCTTGAAAAATATGCCCGGCCACGGTGGGATTCGAACCTACGACCTTTTCGAATCCCACCGTGGCCGGGCATATTTTTCAAGCTCGCCCGGTGTGGATATGCACTCAGAGTAACATCGCAAACATATTATTCACCTGAGTACACAACACCAACACAGAAAAATTCATATTACTAGAACACATTGGTCTTGAAGGAACTAGATACTGTTCCGAAATATCACTTACTCGAACCGTCCTGACCGCGTAGCTCAGTTGGAAGAGCATTGGGCTAGTATTTCAAAGGTCGTAGGTTCGAATCCCACCGTGGCCGGGCATATTTTTCAAGCTCGCCCGGTGTGGAATGCAATCAGAGTAACATCGCAAACATATTATTCACCTGAGTACACAACACCAACACAGAAAAATTCTTTAAATAGTTTTTTATCATCATGCAAATATTAATAACTTACTGACTGAGAGTGAGGGCAGTACGGGAAAATATCCAACCGAGGTCTTGCTGTATTGACCGAGCGATAGCGAGGTCAATGCAGCAAGACCGAGGTTGGATATTTTCCCGTACTACCCGAAGGGTTGTGGTCAGTATAAGTTTTTTATTATATTGGCATTGACCATGCATTGTACGTTTGTACAAAATGGGAAAAAGGTTACGCGAGGGCAAGGTACAAAGTCAAAGTCCCAAACTTTTGCAAAAAAGAAAAAAAATAGTAAAAAATGTTCTCTTGGTTAGTAAAACTACTCTACAGCACTTTTTATATAGAATACCAACACAGTTTGGATAGTATTTCAAGAAATATACGAGGTATTTCGTCATTTAATCAAAGACAACAAATATGAAAACAATAAAATTAATGAACAGTATGGACAAGTAGGCTACGTTTTTAGTTCCCTTCAAGATCATCTCATATTTATGTCTCTTTTTATCTAACAAAAACAGAAATTTTCAGGGAAAAATTATAAGTCTGTGGCTGCTTTAGTTGTATTTTTTATTTAGGATAGTGTCAAATTCCTCTTGGCTATCTACAAATAAAATTTGCAGCCCTTCACAAAGTCAAAACATAACTATTCCTGACTGCTTTAATAGTTATAAATATTGTAAAATTTACTTTGTAATTTCGACTTTCGCTAACAACAACGTATTGAGAAAGTTCTTTAACCACAGTAGTTGCTCCGTTGCTTTATTTTAGGTTTATTTTTCTTCGTTTTGAATAGTTTGAAACACTTTTAGACACTTTTTTTCCGTTTGAAACTCGACTCTCATGGAGTCTGGTCCCAAGGGCAACAAAAAATTAAAAGTTGCGTATTGCCCGTGGGCAATACGGGAAAATCCTGCCTAGTCAACAGCCAATCAAATGAGCCCACAGTAATTGGTTTTAACTGTTGTGGTGTCCCAGCCATCTGACTGTATGTATTGTACTGTACTGAACTATATATATATACTGTACTGTCTTGTGTTAGATTGCACCGTCCCGTTTTTAGTGTGAAGTTTCTTCGAAACTTCACAGTATTGTGATGACTGGGAGGAAATTCAAACTTATCAGTCAGTCAGTCAGTCATTCAGTCAGTCAGTCAGTCATACAGTAAACTTTCCGGGGGGTGTATACGATTTATGTTCGTAGTGATTTATTGTGCTTTGTCAGTACTTTGAAGGTTATTTAAGCAATTTCAGTTAACTTATTTACATATTCTGTTATCCTTTTGCCAAGTTCACAAAAATTTCGAGGAATCGCTTTTGTTATTGTATTTTTTTGTAAATTTTAGAACATTCGCATCTCATGTTGTGTAAAGGATCTTTACCCCGGAACACCCGATTTTTTTAGTAGCGCAAATGCGCATGCGCTATCAAGCCGTAGATCACGATGGCGTGACGATATGCTAGGAAGGAGTGACAGTGTTGTTTTCAGATGTATAAACATTTCAGACGTGAATATTGAGTAAATTTTTGAAAATCTACGCAATATATAAATTGATCTTATGCATTACAGGCGTTCAATTAAGTGTCGATAATATTTAGACGGTATATTCATTATACAGAGCTAGGAAGGAGCTAGACCGCCTAGACAGTGCAGTCAACACTCAAGTGTATAAACATTTCAGACGTATTAAATATTGAGTCGAAAATCTTTGAGATTCTAGGCATTCAATTGAGTGCTGATATTATTTTCACGGTATACTCATTATACGGAGGTACAGTACGTACGAAGAAGCGAGACAGTGTTCTTTTCAAGTATATAAACATTTCAGACATGAATATTGAGAAAATCTTTGAGATTCTACGCAATAATATAATATATAAATTGATGTTATAATTACCGGCATTCAATTAAGTGCCAATCGATATTATTTAGACCGTGTATTCATTATACATTGTTATTGACTGTAAAAGGTGCTACATCACAGAACTCAGTACAAAGAGCGAAAAATTGCATCAGATCAATAAAGCGTAAACAACTATTAAACAGAAGCGGGTGTTTGTACAGGCGTTTACGAAGAAAATATTGCGAGACGAAAGAAATCAGTTGAGTCAGAGCTCCTTATTTAAATAAGAAAGACGAGGAGATAGCCAATGTGTTATCGCCAACGTATTATCGCCAATCGCTTGGCTCGCCAACAAGATTTATGCAATGGAAGAAAAAAGCAAGGAGGTACATGTAGCCAACATGTACTGTCACGGACCTTGTTTACTGTCTAGCACAACGCCGTTGTCAACGGTGCAAACTCGTGTTCAGTGCAACGATAACTCTACCAGATCTTACGAGAATCAATCTGTACTATTCTGTATACAGAACTGTATCAAAGCTTGTCAAAACTGCTTTAAACACTGCAGCTATAACTGTGAAACTATTGAAATCTAAAGTGACATTATTCAACACATGCGAAAAGCTGAAAATAGACACAACGTGACCTTCGAAAAGTCAAAGGTCAATGAGACTTGTTATTGTCAAACATGTCACAATTGGGTAAAAATGCGGAAGCGGATGGAGCGGATCCACGGAACGGATATGCGGATAAAATATGGAACGGATGAAGATAAAGTGCTTCCTTTCAATGATATAACGACGTAGTGCTTATTATTCATAACATATTGTATACAGCTATTTCAATTATAGTTTTAGATAAGTTTAGCATAGCAGTAGCCTCGTGGGGATGCTTTTAGCGACAGCTGCAAATACAAATGCAAATGAAATTTAGAATATGCAAAATTTGGTTGTTGGTGAAACAATTGAAATTTAGCATGCGTGTAGCATCACAATAAATAGATAAATTGTGTCAGTTTCACAAGGCACGTTTCTGATGTGTCGGGCTTGTTTCAAACGTCGTGCGCCGAGCGCATGAGATGAAATGCCTTTGGTAATTGTTTATTTCGTAGTGTAAGCGATCAGCTTTTCTAGGTTGTCGGCGAACCTATATAGTTCTTGCAGTGTCTTTTTCAATTTGAAACTTCACACTATCCTTGGATCCCTAGTTTGTATTGTACTGTATTGTTATTGTTTTTGTATTGTATTATATGGTATATATAAATGGCGAAGTTATATAAATAAATAAATAAATTGCTCGATTCATCAAAACAAATGCTTGCCATATATAATAAATAACATACATTGCATGCTTACTAATTTTATTCGATGTGGTGGTATAAGCTCATGCATGCATGGCTCACACATATATTATTAAATGTAAATATGCATGAATAATACATTTCCAATAATCGAAAATGCATAACAATCCATCAACAATTCACCCATTACTGATAATTTCAGTCATGAATTTCAGGACTCAGAAGAGCTACCTGAGTATAAGAATCTTTTCCTTGAGAAATTATATACACAATTAAAATGACAATATATTAAGTTGATTACCCTTTCTCTGGCATCTTTTCCCTTTAAATCCAGAAAGACAAGTACACTTGAAAGAACGTCCTTTCTCTGCACATTTCCCTCCATTTCGACATGGAGCTGAGGAACATGGTGAACCTATAGAATGACAGCTGATTTGTTTTGAACACCGTAATATTGCTGTAGAGAGCGCTCCCCTATTTAGTAACAGTGCTTGCCTCAATAATTAATTACTGTTCCCCACCATAAATGTTTGATGGTTGAAGATTAAAACCTTCGTACATACATATACAGTAGTACGGCATCATGCAACACCGGGGGAGTGCAGATTAAATCTTTTTCAAAGGAATCTCTAAATAATTATCAAAAAGACCTCTGAATTTCCGAATAACTGTGTTTGGAGATGTTAATCATACACGAAAGCACAAATTCATAAATTGATTATCGATTATCCTGCAGCGATACTTGAAGCGCGTTATAGTGAGGATATATTTCCAAATACTAATTACATAAATTCTGGATTTTGTTGCGTGGGCAGGTCGTCATGCACCTCTCTCTCTATAGTCTCCACTCCCCATGGGGATAAATTGCTATTTCAATTCAATATATTTTAACTTACTACATTTCGCAAATTTCTTGAGATGTTTCCATTTGACTTCAATTCCTAAATCATCACACGCTTCTTCGTAAGCAGCGAAAGATTCACATAAACACGCCTTAGGATTATCTTCACATGCGCAGACATCGTACTCGCAATCTTTTATATAACCTGCATTGGGATCTAATGCTTTCCTACACCTTGAAAAAGGTTGTTTTTTAAGTGCAGAACATTCTTCTTTAGCTTTCTGTGCACGTTTACTGGCATTTTTACATGGGTCCTCTTCAACACTTTCGACATCAGGACAACTGTCACCTATTTTCCACGAATTTCCAAATGTTACTGCTTTCTGCACAAGTTTATCTTTCGGTGTCTTAAACTCGTCACCACGCTTCCCATTAAAGTTGCCACAAAGACCAGATAATTTTCCTTTATAACTGTTGGTAACTTTGACAAAAACATTAAATACGCCATCATATTCAACAATTAAATCAATGTCTGTTGTAATCTTTATGCCACGTTTCTTAAACGTTTTGATATTCATTCCTAAACGAATATGTGAAAGCAAGTTTTAAGTTTAATTACAACAATTAAAGTAAAAGGTCTGAATTGGAACAGTGGTAAACATAGAAATAGTTAGGTAATAATAATTATAAAATAACATGTATATAACGCGTGCTCTGATTGGTCGAAACCCGTGTTTGGATCAGGCCATCCAAACACGGAAATTTAAAGTGAAAATTTTTTAGAGTGGAATTTTAACACGGAAAGTTGTTATTTTATAAACCAATTACTTTATGGTTTCCGTGTTTGAATGGCCTGGTCCAAACACTTGGGAATATTGCTCGGTTAAAAAAGCGCGCAAAATCACTCGCCTTCGGCTCGTGTTTCGCGCTTTTCTTAACTGTCGCAACATTCCCGCGTGTTTGGATCAGGCCATCCAAACACGGAATCCATAGAGTAATTGTATAGTAATGAATTAAATAATTAAGTAATATATACAAGAGATATCATGCACATAATTACGAATCATGCATACATAAAGAAAATAATTTTTTTTAACGGCCTTAATATTCAAAAAATATTTCACCCCTGGCTGCTGGCCACAAAATAGGCTACAATTGGCCACTGCACATATTAATATCGTACAGTATCATTTCCATGCATACCTTGGTTTGAATATGGCAATGTTACATTTGCACCATTGACCAACACATTTTCTCCTCTTCTCAGGTATATTATCGTTCCTTGTATGTTTACCGTGACAGCATTTGTACATGTCGCTTTTCCCCTACCACATGGTTCACTATCTTGTAGAATCATAAACGTTTCGTTTGAGTCCTTGGCCAAGACGTACTCACATTTTCCCATGAAGTTGTAACGTCTTCCATCAAATGTTTTGTAATGAGGACCACCTGTTGCTGAACATACTGCTACGACTGAAATAACAAAACGTCCAAGTTTCATTCTCTGTGCATGTGGGTGTAGCCGGCTGCCGTTTTGTTGACAAACTCATATCTTATTAGGATTGTCGAATTTGCTTTACAGAGTAAAACAATTTTAATATTAATCATGGGCGTACCGGAAGGAAAAATTTAGGGGGGCGGAAAGAAAATTGCCCGACTTTACAAAATGGCGACAAAATTTACTTAATTTTAGACAAAATTTACAGAATTTGTCCCATTGTTTTTTATTGCAAACCAAAATTGCCCGACTGTTGATCGAATATTGCCCGACTGCCCAACAAACTGGGGGGCTACCGCCCCCCGCCCCCGCCCCGGTACGCCTATGATATTAATACTCGAGTGTCCTGCGATAGAGAAATAATTAGGTCATATTCGAGGTCAATTCATATATTTCACCAAAAACCATACATAAAGGAGAATTATTGAACAGTAAAGTTAACACTGAAAATTAAGGCAAGTAAGGGAATTACTGCATGATTTGGCAGTATTTATTATAATTTTTACAACTATACCTGTTTGACAGTGCAATGCATTCTGAATCAAGCTATTTTCATTTACAGTTATTTGTGATATGAAAGTGGAATTGGACAATGATGTTAGGCTTTTACTATCGCAATAGATATGTGGGTAACATGTTATTGAAAATTAAATTAATGCATATTTTACCATTACTTGACTTGACTTGACATCGTTTTCCACCAAACTCAGGAGGGCATTTGCATTTGAAATCATTCCCGACATTTCTACATTTTCCTTTATTTCTACAAGGCTGAGAATCGCACGGAGATTCTAACAAAGATATATGAGAGCAAATTTTAATTGGAAAGATACTTTCCCATGCATGCATGGAACTACCATTGTCTCGCGTATTGAGGCTGATCTTGAAAAAATCTAAATTTTCTTATAGTTTTTTTAACATCATGCAAATATTAATAACTTACTGACCGAGAGTGAGGCCCGAACGGTTGAGGTCAGCAAGTTTTTATTAAATGCCAATATGGCATTGTATGTTAACTTTGTACATGCAAAAAGGGAAAAAAGATCACGTACAAAGTACAAAGTCTAAGTCCGAAACTTTTGCAAAAAAACAAAAAAAATAGTAAAAAATGTTCTCTTGGTTAGTAAAACTACTCTACAGCACTTTTTATATAGAATACCAAAACAGTTTGGATAGTATTTCAAAAAAAATACGAGATATTTCGTCATTTAATCAAAGACAACAAATATGAAAACAATAAAATGAATGAACGGTATGGTCTATGGACAAGTACGTTTTTAGTTCGCTTCAAGATCATCTCATATTTATGTCTCTTTTTATCTAACAAAAACAGAAATTTTCAGGGAAAAATTATAAATCTGTAGCTGCTTTAGTTGTATTCTTTATTTAGGATGGTGTCAAATTCCTCTTGGCTATCTACATATAAAATTTGCAGCTCTTCACATAGTCAAAACACAACTATTCCTGACTGCTTTAATAGTTATAAATATTGTAAAATTTACTTTGTAATTTCGACTTTCGCTAACAAAAACGTATCGAGAAAGTTCTTTAACCACAGCAGTTGCCGCGTTGCTTTATTTTAGGTTTATTTTTCTTCGTTTTGAATAGTTTGAAACACTTTTAGGGAAAAATTATATTAATAGTTATAAATATATATATGTATAATTATAAATATATAAATATATAATTATATTAATAGTCATTAATAGTAATAAATATTGTAAAATTTTGTGAGCCTCCTACTCCGGGTACCATTGCTCATAAGCATACACATAATAATACCTCACTAAACTAGAGGGCACTCAGAGACTGCATACCTCCGCCCGTTACTCGGAAGTGAAACGCAACCTTGGAATTTCCTAAGAAATCCACTTTATAATTCTTAAGCATAAAAGATTTCAGGCCCCCGCGAATTGAAATCGAATTGCTAATAGAACATATTACTGTTGTTGTACTGTACAGTACTTGTAATTAAAATAAAAACTTTTTAAGTGTCATTAAATAAATGCACAAATTTTGCTTTATGCACTCGCGCGTGCAGTAATTTTCACAGTTGTGCTATTTTAAATTCCCAGGCAGCTAAAATCTTTTGTCTTTAAAACAATGTCGATTTCTTGGGAAATTCCGAGGTTGCGTTCTTTTTATACACCCTGTATTGAAGTAATCTAATGTTGTTAGAATTTGAATGGACTGGCACTTTGCTGAACGTAATAATGCGTCACTCCGTAAGCCTTGTTTTAGACATTGAATTTCGGTCGCGTGAAATGCAACTAAGACAATAGATAATGAAGGCCGAAGCTTAATGAGGTTTATCATCTCATTACTGTCTTAGCACTGAGTGCATAAATTATACACGTCCTAATTACGCATTCAGTAATATATTTTGTTAATTGACCGGGAAAAGCAAGACAAAATTTTGTTCATTTCTCGTTCAATTTTTAACCAAATTCAACCAAATTTTAATCAGTTCTTCCTTAGCCGATGGGAAATGCATTCAAAAAATTTCGTACGGATATGTTTGGTATTTCTTGAGTTATCGTGCTCACAGACAAACACACACACATACACACACACACATACAAACCCAGATGATTACATAACCTCCTGGCGGAGGTAATGAAAAGAATAACGAACTAGAGGGCACGCAGAGACTGCATACCTCCGCCCGTTACTCGGAAGTGAAAGGCAACCTTGGAATTTCCTAAGAAATCCACTTTACAATTCTTAAGCATAAAAGATTTCAGGCCCCCGCGAATTGAAATCGAATTGCTAATAGAACATATTACTGTTGTTGTGCTGTACAGTACTTGTAAAATAAAAACTTATTAAGTGTCATTAAATAAATGCATAAATTTTGCTTTATGCACTCGCGCGTGCAGTAATTTTCACAGTTGTGCTATTTTAAATTCCCAGGCAGCTAAAATCTTTTGTCTTTAAAACAATGTCGATTTCTTGGGAAATTCCGAGGTTGCGTTCTTTTTATACACCCTGTATTGAAGTAATCTAATGTTGTTAGAATTTGAATGGACTGGCACTTTGCTGAACGTAATAATGCGTAACTCCGTAAGCCTTGTTTTAGACATTGAATTTCGGTCGCGTGAAATGCAACTAAGACAATAGATAATGAAGGCCGAAGCTTAATGAGGTTTATCATCTCATTATTGTCTTAGCACTGAGTGCATAAATTATACACGTCCTAATTACGCATTCAGTAATATATTTTGTTAATTGACCGGGAAAAGCAAGACAAAATTTTGTTCATTTCTCGTTCAATTTTTAACCAAATTCAACCAATTTTTAATCAGTTCTTCCTTAGCCGATGGGAAATGCATTCAAAAAATTTCGTACGGATATGTTTGGTATTTCTTGAGTTATCGTGCTCACAGACAAACACACACACATACACACACACACACATACACACACACACATACACACACACATACACACACACACACACACACACACACACACACACACACACACACACACACATACAAACCCAGATGATTACATAACCTCCTGGCGGAGGTAACTATGTGGGTGAGCGAAATATAACATCGTGCATGGATCACAAAAACATTCTCGGACGTCGTGCGCGTATAAGATGTATATCTTTCTCTTGTTTAGTGGGACTACCGAAAGGGTGTACTCTCCACATTAATTCCTGCAGGTGGTGGTGCAAGTTGGTTCTTTACAGGGTTGCTAATGAACATACCAAACACGTCGTATCTTGACATAGAAGCGTCATGTACTAATAACCCTTTCCGATTAGAAATTTATGGAACATCAGACAGGTATTATATACAAACGATATTTTATTTGTACAGATACAGGTTGCTTCATAATTCATAAACATAAACACTGTAGTTTTGATACTGGGGAAACAAACTACTATATAATTATTATTAATGTCAAAGTTCACGTTTTCTTGCATCTCATTGGACGAGAACGTATCACGTGAAAGTCACGAAATTCGACCGATAAATAATAAAATCATCGACTTATAAAGCAAAAATTATGGAAGTTCTTGTTTGTTTTTTTCTTTGACGAGCTTTCAGCTTGTATTATAATAAAATACTTATCGACTGAGACTGTCGGCAAACAGTATATGTTTTGTGCACCCGAGACTGCCAATGTTTCAACTGCCAACATTAGAGAGATTGAGATTTGACTTCCACTGCCGCTAACCAATCAGATGCATTTAATCTACCACTGAATTTACCGGCTATATATACCAATCAATCAAATACCTATTAAACCAGTGAGAGTGGCTGGTAGTGGTAGTGGAAGTCAAAACTGAACATTTCTGCTCTTACAGATACATGCAATAAAAGCAATTTATGTATTTTTCTTTCCTTAATAGTTCCTCCAAGAATTTCGAGTCTATACAAAATGTTACGTTTGAAAAGCGAAGCCTCAACACCGCTACCATCAAGAAGTCCTACCCTCATTTGCGCATTCTTGCACGAGCCACATCACAAACAACGTTCTATATTCACTCTATCAAGATGTATCATTATTTTTGCGAAAAGACAAGAATACATAACACTGTTTTAAGTAAAGTGGACTCATCCACAACGAATATCAGTGTAATAGTTCAATGTGGAGATAATGCTGTTGCAAGTGACGGTAATTCCACGAATATAACAGCAAATTGCACTCCCAAAGGAAATTGGACTTTTGGCGATCGAAAATGTGTATGTGTTAAAGGATTCCAGTCTAATAACCAAGAATGTTCACGTAAGTAAAAACTAATAGTAGATAGAAGAAAAGATTGACAGCTGTCATAGATTATTTTAAGTAAACAAAAAAACAAAATAGCAGGGCCTTCGAGCGGTTGCACGGGGCCTGGGAAAACTCTCCTAGGGGGCCCTGTGACGTCATAATTGTAAACAGAAGATGCGATGTTTTATACCAAGGTGCATGTTATTGCTGCATATTAAGGGGCACTGAAGTAGCTACAGTACATAGGCTTTATATTCTTAGTTAAGCAATCTTGT